CCCTTAGAGTAGTTATTAATGGTTCATAATCCTGCTGGAAGGGTGTAACAAGTGGAGTTCCTCAGGGGTCTGTTCTGGGACTGGTTCTGTTCAATATCTTCATCCACAATTTAGATGATGGCATAGAGTGTACAATTAAGTAATTATTCTGTACACATGCAGAATGGGAAGCTGAAACAAAACAGGATTATGTAGCACTTTAAAGACTAACAAGATGGTTATTAGAATGGGAAGCGACTGTCTAGGAAGGAGTACTGCAGAAAGTACTATAGAGAACTTTCTGGGTGTCTGGCTGATGAGTCTTGCCCCCATGCTCAGGGTTTAGCTGATCGCCATATTTGGGGTTGGGAAGGAATTTTCCTCCAGGGTAGATTGGCAGAGGCCCTGGAGGTTTTTCGCCTTCCTCTGTAGCATGGGGTACAGATCACAGCTGGAGGATTCTCTGCATCTTGGGGTCTTCAAGTATTTGAAGGCTTCAATATCTGAGATATAGGTGAGAGGATTATTCTAGAAGGGGGTGGGTGAGATTCTGTGGCCTGCATTGTGCAGGGGGTCAGACTAGATGATCATAATGGTCCCTTCTGACCTTCATTAGTGGACCACAAGAATGAGTCAACAGTGTGATACTGTTGCAAAAATAGCAAACCTGATTCTGTGATGCATTAGCAGGAGTGTTGTGAACAAGACATGAAGTCACTCTTCCACTCTAATCTGCGCTGATTAGGCCTCAATTGGAGAATTGTCTAGTTCTGGGCACCACATTTCAAGAAAGATGTGGATTAATTGGAGAAGGTCCAGAGAAGAGCAACAAGAATGATGAAAGGTCTAGAGAACATGAGCTATAAGGGAAGACTGAAAGAATTGGGCTTGTTTAGTTTAGAAAAGAGAAGACTGAAAGGGGACATGATAGTGGTTTTCAAGTACCTAAAAGAGGGAGACAAGTTGTTCTCCTTGGCCTCTGATGACAGGACAAGAAGCAATGGGCTTAAACTGCAGCAAGAGAGATTTAGTTTGGACATCAGGAAAAACTTCCTAACTGTCAGGGTGGTGAAACTCTGGAATAAATAGCCTAAGGAGGTTGTTGAATCTCCATCACTGGAGATATTTAAGAGCAGATTAGATAGACATCTATTAGGGATGGTCTAGACCAGTGTTTGTCAACCAGTGGTATGCGTACTCTTGGGGGTACTTGAGAGAAGTCTGGGAGGTACAGCAACACAACTGAAATTGAAACAAAAATTCAAGTTTTACCATGCTTTATTATTTTTATACTTTTTACACCCAAAAATTTCATTGCCCAACCAGCTATGATTAAGTTGTTTAAACAAATTAGTTGCAATGGTAGAAAAAAATGATCTGAAAACTGTAGGTACTGGGATAGTGATAGAGATGTAGCCATGTTAGTCTGGGGTAGTTGAAGCAAAATGCAGGACAATGTAGCACTTTAAAGACTAACAAGATGGTTTATTAGATGATGAGCTTTCGTGGGCCAGACCCACTTCCTCAGATCAAATAGTCAGTACTGTACTGTAGGTACTGGGGATACTTAACTTTTTGTTGTTGTTGAAGAAGAGTACTTTCTAAAAATAAAAGGTTGAGAAACACTGGTCTAGACGGTGCTTGGTCCTGCTGTGAGGGCAGTGGACTGGACTTGATGACCTCTTGAGTGCCCTTCCAGTTCTACTGTGCTATGATTCTATGGTTGTAAGTGTATTAAGACATTGCAGCCATTTATAAAGTATCTGTGCTCATCTTCCTCACTTGATATCTAAATTGGCCCTGTCCCAAAGTGCTTCCAATCTCCGATGCATTTGAACAGTGTTTAATACAACAGGACGTAAGCCTGATTGGAGCCTCTGGGTTTGTGCGGTACACTGCGAAGAGGGGAAGCCTCCCAAAACACACTAATGAGTCTGAGTTTGGATCAGTTGACTTGGGTTCTTGGAGCACAGGACTTGGAGTTATAAAACTGAAGTTTTGAGGCTTTGGCTGGTGCACTGAGCCCTTCCCATCTTGCAATTTTATAATTCTGTGAGCCCAAGTCAGCTGACTTGAGCCAGCTGTTTATATAGTGGAGGCCTTTTACTGCAGAGTAGACCTAGTGAGTGCTTTATAGTATCAAGATTTTGTATGTCAGTAAAGCATTACTAGTCATAGTAGAAGATGGTCTAGAAATTACAGGTGCTGATGTAAGGTAATGGGATGACCAAGTCATTGGGATGTTGAAATAAGAGAAATAGAGGTGTAGCACTGCAAGAGATCTCAGAGATAGAGTCCAAGCTAGGAATGTAAAACCCCATTAAATCCGTTAACTAGTTAAATGTTCTGCTAGCCAGACTCCACTTCCACACATACTGCTGACTCATGTTTAGCTTGTGGTCTGCTATGACCCCTAGATCTTTTCTCTTTCCTAGATAGTCATTTCCCATTCTGTATGCGTGAAACTGATTGTTCCTTCCTAAGGGGAGCACTTTGCATTTGTCCTTATTAAACTTCATCCTGTTTACTCAGACCATTTCTCTAGTTTGTCCAGATCATTTTGAATTATGACCCTCTCCTCCAAATCAGTTGCAACCCCTCCCAGCTACATATCATCTGCAAACTTAGTAAACATACTCTCTATGCCAGTGGTCCCCAACCTTTCAAGGTTGCTGGGCGCCAGGGGGCGGGGCCGTTTGCGCCCCGGGGGCAGCTCCCCCCATAGCCGCATGCCCGGGGGCGGCCTCCCTCCCCCCAGCTGCATGCCCGGGGCCGGGGCCCCCCCATAGCCACGCGCCCGGGGCCAGTGCTCCCCCCCAAGTGCCGCACACCTGGGGCCGGTGCCCCCCCCGTAAGAGCCGCAGGGCCAA